AGATGGAAGCCTCTTCTCTTTCTGCTGTGAATGTTTCAAAAACACAACAGAGGAAAATCAAGCCAGAGACCTAAGTGGAATGCAGCAGGGGTTGGATTACAGCATATACCATAATATGAGCATATGCTCGGAGCCTTTCTGGCTACTTTTAGGGACATAGGTGCTGTGCTGAAGGACTTGTCTTTAAGATGATGAAACAATCTTTGGTCCTGTCTCTGTGACACAAACTGTGTTTAAAAGAATTGGCCAGTGAGCCAAAAAGAGTAGACGGAGTAGAAATTAAAAAGAGTGACTCTTTGCCCTTTGGTGCTTTCTCTGTTCCCTTCTGCTGAACATAATGGGGACTCTGTGAGACTCTACTGGACTTCCTAAAAGGAAGGACTGGTCTTCTTTCTGCCTCACCCACTCTCCACTCATAAATGGCAATAAGCACCTGTTGACTCTTGGCAGTCATTTCTATTTGTGTGTCCTGTACCGCCCCCCCCCCCCCGCCGCCACAGGTAACTGAATATAGATCTTAAGAGATAGATTTTTCAGGAGGGGTTATATTGGAAAATTCTACATTCCTCAGTAAGGGCTTACTGGCAGCTGAAGTTTTATACAACTACACCCTTCTCAGAGAAGACCACTCCCAGTAGAATGAGCCCAAGATGTGAAATGAGTTGTCAAAACATGTGGACAACGCACAGCCTAAATGAGAGTGAAATGGCCATTCAGCAAAATGCTTCATGTTTTAATATTTCAAGCATAAATCTCCTGGAAGAGTATGAGGAGTTATAAGTTACTCTTTGTCAATATGTGCTTGTGAGTCTTGTGTTTTGGGCATTTCTTTCATGTACAGGAAATAAATCCCTCTCCCATACCTGATCTGCATTGTACATTGAATACCTTCTACTCCTTTTTGGGGCAATTCCTGGTTTGGAAGCAATGGGCAGAGTTCCAATGAAAATAGTAGTCTTGTGCCAGGTTCTGGCACCTCCAGTGATGGGATCCAATACAAAAGAGGGCAGTGTGCTCGCAAAACTTCTGACTTTACCCCAAGCCTCAAGTCTCTGGTCTCCAGAATTATGTTACTAGAGCATAATTAACTTAGGGAAAAGTTTTGGCAACTATTGTTGCAACTTGGTAGGACGTTGCATAATAGAGAAAAGAGCCTGGATCGGAGCAAAATACTATTGCCTTGTTTATTTTGCTTTTCATTCTAGATTTTCTACCACATGATACTGGTTTAATTAAATTATACATAGTTTTAGTTAAAGTCTATATGTTTTGCATGTTAAGACCATCCCTTTGAGAAAGTCTAAAGTGGGGGCTTTCTCATTGGGGAGGGTGATTACTTAAAATTACTTCGTGATTTATACTTTTGAAAACTCTCCTAAATATATAAGAGATAGACTTGCTGGAGGGCAGGCTTTCAGAGAATCACAAATTTACAGCTGGAAGGAACCATAGAACTCATCTTACCCAACCTTTTCATTTTATAGATGAAAATACTGGGCACCACAGAGATCAAGTGAGTCACCCCAGGTCACACCAGTAGGAAGCAGCTAAGCCCATAGCCTTTGACTCCAAATCTAGCTTATGCTCCCCTTCACCACGATGCCTCCCTGGGAACATCCAGACAGATCAACACTAGTGAGAAACAATTTGAGAATTGTGTATTAGTCTCTAGAAATTCAGGTTTGAAGGGCTAGGGAATAGTGAGGAAGATTTCAGAGAAACACAAAAGGGGAATTTATGACTAAATGTAGGAAATTCCTCATACTGTCCAGAGTCATCTTCTAGGTAAGTTAAATTTACTAAGCAACTATATCAGTGGCCAGCTATGGAAGTTGTGTTTCTAATCTATGCTAGAAACAACCTATGTTGCAAATAGCATTTAAAAAAAGTAGAAGTGTTTAAATACCCTCTCTAGTTGTCTGGGGTTCTTGATGGATCTAATCATTAATATGGTGGCCAATATTCTATGGTTTAGATTCTCCTCTTTGCTACCTATGTCAAGGGGGTGTTGGGAAGATCTGGTTGGTTGATTGTTGTCCTTTGTTCTCAAAGAGGACCAAAATGACATCACTATGCTAGAGGCAAGTTTCAGTGTGTCCAACTATGGCTGATCAGACCAATATGAGCTTGGGTCAATATGAAGTCCGGCACAAATAGTCCATGTGAACATTTGGGGTGGATTCTCTAAATTTTCGCATCTTGTGTTTCTTTTGAGTTGCTTCAATTCTACTTTGCCCATAGTCCACAGCACCTTCTTTGATGTGGGCATGCCATGCTGAGTGGTCCTGTGCCAGTCACACATGTCCTGTGTGACATGTCTCCCATGTCACACAATCAACTAAAGTTCTTAAGAGAGACCTTGAGAGTATCTTTGTATCGCTTCTTCTGACCACCGTGAGAATGCTTGCCCTTCGTGAATTCTCCATAAAATTGCTTTTTTGGCAAGCCTATGTTTTGCATTCAAATAACATAGCCAGCCCATCAGAGTTGTGCCCTCCAAAGTAGAGTTTGAATGATTGGCAGTTTAGTTTGAGAAAGGATCTCAGTGTCTGGTATCTTCTCCTGCCAGGTGATCTTCAGAATCTTTCTAAGACAATTCAAATGGAAGAGATTCAGTTTCCTAGCATAGTGCTGACATACTGTCCAGGTTTCACGGGCATAATGAGGTTAGCACAGTGGCTCTGTAAATCTTTAGTTTGGTAGTCTAATACCTCTTCTCTCCCACACTTTCCTTTGAAACTTCCTAAACACTGAGCAAGCTCTAGCAATGAGTGCATCAATCTCATTATCAGTGTGTACATTCCTGGAAAGTACACTGCCAAGGAGAAGTGCCAGGAGCAGAACAGAGGTCTGTACACAGTGTTGGTAGAACTGACCTGGTCTTTAATACTGTCAGTCATGAGGACTTATGGAAAATTATGTCAAAATTTGGTTGCCCAGAGAAGTTCATCAGAAATGTACATCAATTTCATGACAGTGTGCTTGCCCAGATTCTGGATAATGGACAATGCTCTCGTGCTTTCTCAGTCACCCATGAAGTGAATCAAGGCTGTGTGCTTGCTCCCATTTTTTTAGCTTGGTGTTTTCAGCCATCTTGTCAAATACTTTCAATGAGGATGAACACAGCATCAAGGTCAGTTACCTCACTGATGGCAAATTCTTCAACTTTAAAAGGCTATAAGCCACGACCAAAGTGGAGGAAGTGTTGGTGCGTGATTTTCTGTTTGCAGATGATTGTGCACTCAGTGCAGCCTCTGAAGCTGAGATGCAACAAAGTATGGGTCAATTCTCTGCTGCTTGTGCTAATTTTGGCCTAACAGTTAACATCAAGAAAACAAAGGTGCTCCATCAAAACACCTTTCATATGTGGAACCATCAGTTACAGCAAATGGAGAAGTTTTGAATGCTGTGGATAAGTTCACTTACCTCGGGTAGATCTAATGAGATAATGGATATGAACACTTTGTACAACAAGTTGTAAAATGCTGCAGAAAGGCAGGAGGAAATTATTATTATGGAAGTAGACTCCCTGAAGTGGAAGAAGTCCTTTTGACTCTTCTGTTTTGCATCTTATACTACAGATGTAAAGACAGCTAGCACTTTCTTAATAGGTTGAAGAGAGTTATGTCTAGCAGTAAGGAGCACTGTGGAGAAGGGAAGGCAGCTCTCTAGAAGCACCACCTTCTTCCAAGTCCACCGACACATGAATTTTTAGCAAGCTTCCACAATGAGGAGGGTAAAAGAGACAGGATTACTCAACCACCAAAAAATCCCAACTATAACACAGCACATCAATAAAGAACAAATGGTTCCTAATGTAAAAGGACCACGAAGCTGGTCGAATATTCACTGGTTGGAAGCTTGAAATGCAGATTTATGCCATAGATATTAAAGGAGTAGATGTTTCATATTACTATGACAACATTTATATAATGCTTTAAGGTTTGCAAAGTGCTTTACATAGATGATCTCATTTAATCCTCTAATTAGCACAGGAAAGAAGAAGTAGGATAACTAGACAGTATGCAGAAAAACACAAATCCTTTTAGGTGGGGTATAATCTTCCCTTGACTTTTAATCCTAAAATGGGTGGTGCTAATGAAATGGTCAAGCAGAAAATCAAACAATGGGAATTCATTGTCCACTAGGTGTGGGCACTTGCACTAGGGACTAGAGGAATTGAAAGAATCTTAGATTTAGAGTTAGAAGGGGCCTAGTCCAACTCACTTCTTTTACAGATGATGAAACTGGGGTCTACAGGACTTACATAACTTACCAAAGCTCACACAGTGACAGAGCTAGGCTTTGAACTGCAGGTTCTCTGAAGCCAAGTACAGCATTCTTTCCACTATACCACACTGCCTTCCAGAAGCAGAGGTATGGTCCTCACTCTTTTAAAGTTTGCAATAGTGGAGAAACATGACAAACATAAGGTAGCATATTATATATTTGAAGTAAATTATGCAGACAGTAAGTGCTATGTGCTTACAAGAAAGGAAAGATCACAATCTGCCCAGGGATGGGCCAACATACGCCTATGATGAATGGAATTACCACAGCTGGGGTGTAGTTTGGATTGGGAACCAAGTAAGCAAAAACAAAACAAAAAATCAGGCTGAGTCAATGCCATGACTTTACTGAGTGCCCAAATCCAAAGAATTGAAACATAAATTAGAAGCTTACAAAAAGCCTCTTTCTGCACAACGGGTGAGATAGGCAAAGCAAGCATTAAATTGCCACCCATTTTACTGATGAAGAAATTGAGACTTGACTTGCTCAGTTACGAGGCTCGTTACAAAAAAGGGGGGAGCAGTGAAGGAAGCAGGGGCCTTCTGATTTCCACTCCCCCGCCCCTCCTCCCCTGGGGTTCTAGAACCACGCCTCAACCAGGGGCAGTGCCAGCTATTAATTGCGAGAGGAGGGAGACTGAGAAGAGACCCCGCCCGTGGAAGAGCCGAGGCTCCAGAGCGTGCGCAGGCGCCCTCCGCCGCCCGGTCACAGGCATGTGCGCAGGCCCATTGGCTCCCCTGGTGTCCTCTGGTAGTCCGAAGAGGAACGACCTGCACCTGACACCTTGTGCTTCCGGGTCAGCCTTGGTAGCGGTTGTCGGTACCCATTCGGACTTGGTGGTTCGGTAAGGCCTAGCTCCCAGTTCCGTCACCGCCCGGTACCTCCAGAGACCTGGCTCCCAGCCGTCCCCCCCCCCAACGGAGCCGCCATCTCTCCCGTTCACTTCTCTCGGGCGAGATGCCGGGAGGAGGGAGGGGCGGAGGCCCGCGCTGTGGGGAGAGGTAGCGGCGGCGCCGTCCCCCTGCTCCTCCCGCGGGTGTCTCCCCCTGCCCCCGGGAGAGGCGGCGGTGCGGCCCGGCCTGGAGCCGCTGGAGCGTGCGCCCCGCGGGCAGCCTCCGTTCCGCCCCCCTCCTAGCAACAGGCCTCCCGGAGCAGGGCCCCGCGGCGGGTCCCGGCCTCTTGTCGTCTCCCGGGGCCGCCGGCGTCGCGCCCTGGGCAGCCCGGGGGCCCGTGGTGTTTGGCAGGAGGGCAGCCCGGGGGTTAGGAGCCGGCCACGTTTCCTCGAGGGCTTCCTGCGCTGTCTATCCTCCTGTCCCTTCGTCCGGCTTCGGGCGACACTGCCCTTCACGCAGCCCCAACGGTTGGAGTGACTATGACCCCAAACCTGGCTGCTGATGCCAAACCTTCGGACCTGGGCTTGGGGAGGCGTTGGCCACGTTCATCATGTAAACATCGCTTCAGTTTAGACAAGAACCTCGGGGTTGATTGTCACTACTCCGGCCAAAGGAAAACCGGGGGGCGATCAGCCCCAGAAAGGGAAAGGGGTGTGCTGGGGGGCCACAGAACGGAATGAAAACTGCACGAGTGCACGGACCCCGAAGTCACCTTGTCCTGGGCCCTCCTCGTTAATGTAGTCTTCAGCCTGCGCTGACACCAAGTTTGGGTAGTCTTAGCCTCCCATGTCCAGGGCTCTGCTTGCTGCTACTTCTGTGTAATGCCAGGGCCACTTTTTTATGTCTGATGTCGATCATTTAATCAATGAGGAGAATTAAACACACACACACACACACACACTTTTTGAAGCATTTAGAAACTAGTTGAGAAAATACCTAAAACTAGAAAATAATTCTACAACCATGTATAGTAAGCAAAAGCTTAATACAGAAGAAGTTTATTTTCCCAGAAGAAACACGAAGAAGAATGTCTCCACTCAATTAGGGAAATGTCTGAATTGCATATTTTAAAATTAATTGATTTCAACTATCATTATATATACAAAGTACTGAGCATGAATAAATAGGCGACCTTATGTTTATAACATCGTATAATAATGTATCACAAACATAAAAATCTCAAATATGCTACTTATTTCAGACTTTTACCCTCAGTAATAATCAGCTGCACTGATCAATTATTGCAAAAATGAAATTGAGGCAACTAGATGGCACAGTGGATGGAGTGCTGGACCTAGAGTCAGAAAGAACCAAATCAAACCCCAGACACTTACTAGCTGTGTGATCCTGGGCAAGTTAACTTCTGTCTGCCTCAGTTTCTTCATCTGTAAAATCAAAATAATAATAGCACCTGTCTCTCACCTTTGTTGTGAAGATCAAATGAGAGTTTTTTGTGACCTTAAAGTGCTATATAAATGCTAGCCATTATTAGTCTGAATCAGTAACATTTTATTTTCGAGGTGTATTCTCCAGCATCTAGAAGTTAGTCTAGATCCTTCTGAGGTCCCAGCTTTAGAATTCTTTTCAAATTTTTCAGTAATGTTTCTATGAAATTGTACAATCTTCCTTTAAAAAAAAATACTGTATTTTTCAGTTCTCCCTGAATGGTTCCTTTATACAAATGAATCCTTTTGTAGTCAGACTCCTGGTGTAATAGAATTTGAACACATTTTGCAGTTTTCCTTAGTTTACATGACCCAGGAATTATTACATTGTATTTTTTCCTAAAATAAAATTTCTCCCTGAAATGAGGGTATCTCAGAGTCTCTGGGTATATTGACTTGGTACTCTGTCCTTGTTCTCCACTCTTCCTTTAAAGACATGAACTAAGCAACTGTGTCATTGTTTTTCTTTCTTATAGTATGATGAAAGAATTTCCCAAACTGATTAGACAGTGGAATACTTTGAAACTTGACAGAAGGAGAGAAGGGGAAGGAAAGGATTGGTTAGTCTAAGGGAGAGTATCCCCAGATTAAAAGAAAATTGAAGAAATTGAGGAACAAAATAGAGAACATTAAGCCTATTTTTAGTACTGCCAAATGTTTTACAATAATAAGCATTTGTAATAATTTGATACTCACTATGTTATTGCTAGTATTGTAATTTTCCTGTGGAAACCTTGTTCACATCCTTTGAAACCGAAGGTTCCATGGAACACAGTTTAGGAAAAGTAAAGTAAGAGACAGCATGGTGAATAATGGGCTGGCCTTGGAGTAAGGAAGGCCTAGGTTCATTTCCTTCCTTAGATACATACTAGCTTCTTAACTTCACGGTCTCAGCCAACTTTGAGATGTTAAGTTAGCAGATCAATTGCTGATCTTCATTGGTAGAAGGAATTGCATACGAAGAGTATCCTACATGTTTAAATACCCCTCCCCCACAAAAAAACAACACCATCCCATATGTACTCTTGCCATTACAGTATGGTATAAAAAATACTGGATTTTTCTAAAGACAGGTTGGTCATGTCATACCCTCCTCAAAAACCTTCAATAATTCCTTATTGCTAGGACAAAAGAAATGCAGGGCCTCATAAATTGTACCCACATAGACACCTATTTGTAAACCAGGGGATTGCCTGTGGATCTCAATATCTTCATTTGAAAAGCCCTGGGCGCTGGAATGGAGAATGGGCTACAACATACGACACCTAGGGCCAGGTTTCCCTTGTTCACTTAATGATTTATAATCTGCTTGTTTCACTGTGATTGAAAAAATGTTTCCTTGTTTTGTGCAGTTTGGAGCATGTAAACATATCCTGAGCCCTTGATGAGTTCCAGTATGTGGTATATTATGCAGAGCATTCAGAGCAAATATTCTCTCTCAGAGCGCTTAATTCGAACAATTGCTGCTATACGTTCTTTTCCTCATGATAACGTAGAGGACCTGATCAGAGGGGTGAGTATCCTGCTGCTTCTGTGAGAAACCACTGAGGGGTAAAATGGAAACCTGGGGGACCATGTTGTGTTACAAGCGTGAAGCATCAACTCTGCACAGAGTAAAATTTCTATTATCTAGGAGATGATAAGCTGTTGATTCTTATTTGTTCTTTGTTTCAGTTTTCCTTCCCTTCTCCCCTTTGTCACCCTGTAGTAGCCTTTTTGTCTTGACATGTGTTGAGTTCTACATGCCTAGTGGTTAAAGTCCAGTTAAGATATCATGCAGAGGAAGGTAGAAACACTGTACAACTTATATAACTATGTAAGTCATTCTGTACAAGTGGTTCTCCGTTTGGCACACTGATCTTTCCATGTCTGGGATAGAGCAGTTAGAACTCTTATTTCTCTTAAGTAATTTATTACCTGTTGTACCATTTTTAAAAATTAGGTATTTTATGAAAGATACATTATTGAATATCAGTAAAACCAACTTGGGGAGAGGGGAACTTGGTGGTACGATGGGTTTTAGAGCACTGAGCCTGGAGTCAGGAAGATCTGAGTTCAGATACAGCTTCAGACACCTATATTTGTGATGTTGGGCAAGTCACATAACCCATGTTTGCCTCAGTTGCTCATCTGTAAAATGGGGACACACTAGAGAGGGAAATAGCAAAACACTCTAATATCTTTGCCAAGAAAGAACCCCAGAAATAACAACAAAAACTAAACAGATGGAACAAAATCCTGTATTTTGGAAACTATTTACAGTTTAATTTCAGTGTGTAAAAAAAATATAACTTTTCAGTCACTCCAAGTCCTTTTCCTCTTACATGCTTTAAAATTGTGTGTGCTGTATTTTAGTTGTTGTTTTTTAACCATTTTGCATTACTTCATTTAGGCCCTTCCACATTTATTTGTATTCCTTTAAAATTCCTGTGCTGCTGACTGGTACTACTACCTATTGAAGTAGCAGTGGATACACACAAGTTTTGTAAACATAAAGTGGCTATTAAGTTTCATTCCATTCTTGTTAGGTGTAGCTACCTATAAAAATCATTGAGGGGCAGTTCGGTGGTGCAGTTATTAGACAACCAGCCCCCGAGTCAGAAGGACCTGAGTTCAAATATGGCCTCAGGCACTTGACACTTACTAGCTGTGTGACCCTGGGCAAGTCACTTCACCCCTATGGTCTCACCCAAAAAATTTTTTTTTCAAATATTAAAAAAAAAAGCATCATTTAAAGGGCAGGAGAGCTGTTACCTGGTTTTCCTGGTCCCCATGCTGATAGTGTTGTTGCCGTAGTTGTTGCTAAAGAGCATAGTGGCATAGGAAAGTGTTTCAATAGTTCAGCTTTCTTCAACATAGCAAATTCTGCTTAGTCTAAGAAGGGCTTCACTCTTAGTACAGATGATAGGATTGAGCTTTTGATGGTGGTCTGAGAGTTAGGCTTCTTAATAAAGGTTGTTTTAGCGTGATTCAAAGAAAAAATTGGCAATTTGATTGTCTCCAACAGTAGAGCTATATTTCTTTAGTTTTCAAATGAAGAAACTGGGTTGCTGTATTTATATTGCATGGCATGTCTCGTGGAGGCAGGACTCATTTTCCCTGGTACCCAGTCTTGAGCCTTTTCCCTGCCTGTCTGACTAGCTTTTTAGGAACATGATGGGAGAGGGACATGATTCCATTTTCATTCCATTCCAGCTTTCCTCAAAATAGCAAGTTCTTCCTAGTCTGATTAGGGTCTCACTACTTAGGCAAAACTGATGAAAGTTCTCTGTTTTTCTGCCTACAGGGAGCCGATGTGAATTGTACTCATGGCACACTGAAGCCATTGCACTGTGCGTGCATGGTGTCAGATGCTGACTGTGTGGAGTTACTCTTGGAAAAAGGAGCTGAGGTAATTTGTTTTTAATAACGCACTCTAACACTTCATTGAAAAGCATCATATTTTCTAAGAATCAGTTCTCTCCTCCATACCTCACCACCTTTTATCTTACCTTCTGGTTAGTGGTGCCATTGGTTAGAACCACTTTTATTGCAAGGCATCATGGTGGCTAGCTAGAGCCATGAATATCTGTTGTTTATCAGCCCCATTGTGTACCCCAGTCACCTCCCCCTTCCTTAATTTGAACTGTTGTTGGTATTAGTGAGGAGTAATTTCTCTTTCCCTTTTTTGTTCCCAGCCAATTTGTTTGGGTGGCACTCTTCAATACCCTTGAAACTTTTATTTTTTTTTGCCTGTAGAATGAACTGGAACTATACAAAGGAAGTCAGCCCCCAACCCTCATTCTTACGTTGTCCAGTCTAGGATTGGACCTGATGTCAGACACAGCCTCCCAACATTAAATGAAAACAAAGATATACCTTTCATCCGTTCCTGAGAATTCTGCCTTCCCTGCTGTCGTCCCCACCTCTGTGCTATTTTGAGTATTGGTCTCAATCTTGTTTTCCTTCTGTTGTGACCATCACGAGTTTAGGGCCAATAGCAGGCTATTTTAAGGCAGCTGAATGAGCTTATGGATTAGAATATAGCAACTAACATCCTTATAGTTTTGTCCAAATTAATAATATTGTATATTTTAGAGCTTTTTCTAGATTGTCCTTAACTGTAGAGGACAAAAAGAACTAGGATAAAAGTGATAATCCAAAATTTCTACTCTGTTTAAACTTTTCTTCACCAAACCTCTCCCTTCACTGCTTAGTAGCAAAAGATGAGTTTAAGCTGCGTCCTCCTCCTTTTCACCCTACCCTGTTATGGAAGTACTAAGTAGTAGCAGCGTAGTCAAAAGATAAGAAAGAAGAGGAAAGATAACCACAGAGCCCTGGATGGTTCAGAATAGATAAGAGTCCATGAGTTCAGAGCTCATTTTTCTGTAACTAACAACTGTCTGTATGCTTCAGTGCTTTAAAGGTTTTCTTTCCTCCTCTGTTACTAGGGTGGTTCTATTTTGTCCCTTTGACAGCCTTAATTGTATTTGTGATAGCTACTGGATCTTCCTGTTAATTAAGTACTTAGGACTAAAGAATCTTTTCTACAGTCTCTTCTTGAACTTTCCTCCTTGGAATCCTAACAGAATATTTCTTCTTACTAAAGAAATATCAACTAGCTTCTCTGCTAAGAGCTTTATGGGGCTACTATAGAAACACCTCCTTTCTACCCAACCTTCGAAACTTATTTCCAGGGAACTTTAGACTAACCTTACAGATATGGAAAATGTACTCATTTAAAATAGGTACTGCCAAATAATCAATGCCTTTTTCTCTGAACTTCCTTTGCCTTCCTATTGCCGTATATGATTATTCAAAGCTGTTTCCCCCCCATGTACCTATCATCTCTCTTTTGCTTATTGACTTCCTTGTGCAGCATAATAGATTATTAGTGATGGTGTGTAGATGAATAATTTGGATCTGCCTGACATTCTGTATTGGCTTGTTATATCCACTGTAATGTATTTGTTATTTCTTTTTATAGGTAAATGCTTTAGACGGCTACAACCGGACGGCTCTCCATTATGCAGCTGAGAAAGATGAAGCCTGTGTGGAAGTCCTGTTGGAATATGGTGCAAACCCCAATGCACTAGATGGCAACAGAGATACCCCACTTCACTGGGCAGCCTTTAAGAATAATGCTGAGTGTGTAAGGGCCCTTCTAGAAAGTGGTGCCTCTGTCAATGCCTTGGATTACAACAATGACACACCACTCAGCTGGGCAGCCATGAAGGGAAACCTTGAGAGTGTTAGCATCCTCCTTGACTATGGTGCAGAGGTCAGGGTCACCAACTTAAAGGGCCAGACACCTATCTCCCGGTTGGTGGCTCTGTTGGTTAGGGGACTAGGAACAGAAAAAGAGGATTCTTGCTTTGAGCTCCTCCACAGGGCCGTCGGACACTTTGAATTACGGAAAAATGGCACCATGCCTGGTGAGGTAGCCAAGGACCAGCAACTTTGTGAAAAACTGACTATGCTGTGCTCTGCCCCAGGAACCCTAAAAACATTGTCTCGATATGCTGTTCGACATAGCTTGGGACTCCAGTATCTGCCAGATGCAGTAAAGGGCCTGCCATTGCCAGCATCTTTGAAGGAATACTTGTTACTTGTAGAGTAACTGAAGAAGAGCTTGGGCCATCACACAACAATTCTACATGAGGTTTGCTTTGCAGACCTAGTTGTCCTGTTCTGTCATGGGGAAGTGGGATGCAGATGTTCATGTCTGGTGCATAGATTTTGAAACAACATATCACAGCAATAACATCCTTGCCACCTCCCTCTAAGCCAAACAAACAAAAAAAAAAAATCCAGTGCTTTTTTGTTTGCAGAAAGTGTGTGTATTGCTTACTCAGCTTTTGATATTTGCACCTTCTAAAGGAAAAGATCTCCATGTTCTCTCTCATTTAGGAGACATGCAGCTGGAGCCAGCTGCACAGCTGAATTTCTTTAGGAAAATTAAATGTATTTAAAGAGGGTGTGTGATTTCCCTGCAGAAAGATTTGGTTACTAACTCTTTAGGAGCTTTTTAATTGGTCATTGGAGATATTCAGGGAAAAAACAGACCAGTTAACATCGTTCACAGTCTAAAGAAGAAAATATAACAGTTTAAATAGTGCAATTTTAATAATGACTTAACTGAATGACATACTAGCATTGCCATGTAATTGAGGGGGAAATTTTCCTTTGTTTCCCATCATAAGAAACAACAAGCTGTCCTGTTTTTTACCTGTTTGAGTGGTACAGCAGAATTAACTTGGCTGCTCTCCAGTGTAAAGAAAATAGTTATCTGTAGTCCTGCGAATGCTAGTTTCTCAAATGTATTTCTTTTCAGACTTTCCCCAATTAGGTGTTCTAACAGCACCAAGAAGCCATCTTCCCCATCCTTTAGATCATTTAGTATTTGATTCTAGAAAGGAAAGGTATAAGCTAGCTGCTTTCCTCCAAGCTCAAGTTCATAGTCTCTGTATAGAAAACTCTACTAAATGTTTGGAATTGTTTTTCTTTCTGTTGTTAAGTTGTGCTTTGTATTAATTGACATTTTAGTCATTTCAGGCTGTGTGTATGTATGTGTTGGTAGTGGGAGATATTATATGAAGAAGAACCAACTGCCTAGAAAAGTGTGGTTTGGGTCAATAGAACTTTTTATTTCCATATTCCTAAACTTTGAATCAAGTAATCTGAGGAATACTTGACTAAAACAAAAAACTATTATGTGTGTGTGTGTGTGTGTGTGTGTGTGTGTGTGTTGAGGGGGGAAGGAAGGACCTAAGGAAAAGGGTGGGAGGAAGCTATATGCGAAATAGGAATGGGATCTGTTTAAGTAACTTGAAAATAAGTGAGGAGAAAGGCAGTGTGATATATTGAATAAAGAGCAGACTTTGAATTCAGGAAGACCTGGGTTCAAATTCTTCCATACATACTGGCTTTGTCACCCTGGGCAAATCAGTTAGTACCCCATTTACATTAAGACTATATATAAAGTACCGAACAGTTGCCAGTTGGTATTGACCAAAAGAGTTTCCTCATTTAAGAGATACCTGAAATCACAGGTCTGGTCCAAAAAAAGGTGAATCTGATTTTTTTTTTGTTATTTGTGTGTTACATTTATTGAGGTTATAGGGAAGAGTAGTAGTTCCAAAGGGGAGCTTCTAAATACCTACTTTGTTTGAGTTATTTTCTGGATATTCTTTTGTGTCCTTTTTTTCCCCTTATAGGTGTAACTAACTACGATATCCCTGTGTCCTTCTCTGTCATACATTATGGTGATACCTAATGTAAATCTCTCTTCCCCTATTTCACATGTCACTAAGCTTGACACTACATTAATAAAATCATTTTCAGAAGGTTTGGGTAGATAGATGGGAATCATACCCACATGGAAAAAGGAGTAGCCTTCATTTCATAGAAAGTATAATAGAGAGGCCCATTCTCTCATTTTACAGCTGATGACACTAGGTGAGGTGAAATGTCTTGCCCAAAATTCATACCACTTAAGTGGCTGAGTGAGGAGTAGAACCTGGGGCTCTTGACTCCAAGTCCAGCGCCTTTTCCCCTATGGCATGTTGTCTTTTCCCCCTCTGTTTAACAAATGTTTTTAGCTGGCTGAGAAACTCCCACTTCACTTTAATTTATAACTAGTTCCATCCATCTTGATTCTGAGAAAATAGTTTTTCTTCCATTAAAAAAATCATGCTTGACTAGATTTTCAGAGTCTAAGCATGATAGGAAATCCCCTGCTCTCTCTGATTGTTTACTTACAAATTCTTAGGCCTTCAGCAAATGGTATTCCTCCTAGCCTTCCTGTTTCACTTTGTTGCATTTCTGTTCAATAGACGTGAAGTTCTAGGCACTACCTGGTGATGGGGCTACAAAAACATCAGTGAAAAATCACCTGCCTTCAGGAAAGTGATAAGCTCATTATTCCGGTATTGTGTTCTTGTTAGGGAGGTTCTACATAAATGTTTTATCATTTCATTTCTTGGCTTAAAGTAAAGACTCAGCTTCACATGTTTTCATTTATTATTAGCTCCAGAGGGTTAAAAAAAACCCCCAAAAAACCAAAAACAACAACTTGCAGTAGGAAGTATATATTTGCTCTTTAAGATTTAAATCTGCTTTTCTCCCAGAAGCTGATGCATCCCACTGGATTTAGAGTAAGACGGCCTGAATTCAAGTCTTGGCTCAGAGTAATTTTTGGCAAATCCTATCACAACTCATTTGCAGTTATCTGCAAAATTAGGGGGTTGGACTAAATGACCTTTAAGGTTTCTCCTATCTCTGATCCTGTGAACTCAACCTCCTTTTAATATCCCTTATGTTTCTAAGTTTGGACAAGCACTCTGAACATAGTTATAAAATTATTTTTCCTGGTGATTTATTTTTCTATTTACATCTTATATATCTAAACTTGAGGAGAATTGATCATAGTCTTTTTGAGTCATTTCAATTGTGTCTGACTCTCTGTGACTCCGTTTGGGGTTTTCCTGGCAAAGAGATTGGAGTGGTTTGCCATTTCCTGCTCCAGCTCATTTTATAGATGAGGAATTGGGGCAAATGGCTAATTGACTTTCCCAGGGTCACATAGTGTCTGAGGTTGGATTTGAACTTGGGTCCTTCTGACTCCAGGACCAGTGCTCTATCCACTGCCCACCTAGCTGCCCTGATTATAGTCTTGGCTTCTAACAACGATGGTGTACTGAAGGCAAACTCTTCCTTTTTAACCTCCTCAGTGATTTGACTGGTGAATGGCAGGAAAAAAAGCAGGACAACAAGGAAAAAAAGAGTAGCTATCCTTGCAAAACAACAATTAAAAAAAAACAAACTTGAGGCTGGCATTTCCTCTTAGGAAAATGAGGGATGTGGATGGACAAAAACACTTCTATGGAAGTTGTGGAGAACATATACCTGATGTTCAGTGGCATGAGACAAAAACACACTTCTGTGGAAGTTGTGGAGAACATATACCTGATGTTCAGTGGCATGAGACCTTACAATGGGTGCCCCCATGAGAAATGTAAAATCTCAGCTATAGTCTCAAGAAAATCTAATGTTCTGATTTTGGTTCTAGGTGACCCAAAGTAAGTGCCGTGCTCCTCCAACAGTATTGAATTCTGTGACTAAATAAAACTGTAGACATTACAGAGATTATTGCAATATGGAGAAGGGAGGTAAGAAAGATTTTAACACTGTGGAGAAGGGAGGGCCTGAAGGTGATGAGCAGTCTGACTCCTCCAACCTATAATGCATAGATCATAAGTGATCTATGAGAACAAGCTGAGACAAGTAGCTAGTACTGTCATAACTCATTTAAAGAAGATAGCCTAAGGTGAGCCAAAACCACAATGACATTAGCATTTATTACTATACCTACAGCATTTGCCACTTCAACAGAAGCAATAAGAAAGCCACAATCATTTTGTCCAAATTACAAACAAAGAAATAAATAAAACTTGCTTTTAGGAAACTGGTAACCGAGTGACTGACATCTGGCAAGGGAATCTGCTTAGGGTAACAGATAAATGTGGAGGAGAAGCTACCCAACTTGCCGTGTGCTTCCAGGTCTTAAGATTGAGCCACTTGCTTGTGGCTGTGATTATAGGGTGAGGTAAAATTTAATGAGAAAGGAGCTAAAACACTGAGAATTCAAGAATAAGGAGTCTAGGCATGGACTAGCCAGAGAGTGAGCTGAGCACTTGCAGCTGTCTCCATCTACTCAGGGGCTTGTAGAGTCCACAGACGTACGCTTGACATGTTCCAGGTGAGCATGTTCTGTAGTGTCCAGGTCAGTATCATATTTGGCCAAGATTTTGAGGAGAGGCCGAATTCTCATCCACCATTGCTCCTTAGGGATCCTGTGTCTGTAGAGAAATAAGATAGGGTCAGCTGGCAGCCTCCAAGCACCAGTCACCTGCAAAAAATAAATCTAGGGGGTCCAGGAGTTGTCATGCAGAAGAGAATATTTTGGAAAGGGATTTAGTAAAAGAGACTAAGCATTCTTAAGGAAGAGACATGAGGCTGGGGAGACGTAAGGAAGAGTTTTCTGGAACTGGGATAAAGGTACTCACTCAAAGTCTGTTTCTTCTTTGAGGTCAGACAATGGTTGGAAGATCAAGGCCCTCTTACGCATCCCCAGTACACAAGCTGATTCAGGTGAATTGGCAAAAACACGCCCTGCAATAAGAGTTTGTCAGTAAGATTCTCATCCTGCAAAGTGCTGGACAGATTCCAAGGCCTCCCCCTTTAGCCTCACCTACCATTACGGATACTTTCTTGGATTTTTGTTGACATCCAGGTCATAGCCTTGGCTCCCATCTTAGTAGCAAAGTTTCTGTCAAATGGAGTTGGACTTCCACCCTAAAAACAGTACAGGAGAAAGTTGAGAAAAAAGAGCCATGGGTTAAGGTTAAGAGGAAGAAATTTTGAGGTGCCTTTGAGGTGGGAGGATAAGATGCTGGAGACCCAAGCAGGGAAATTACTTGAAATACTTATGAACTAGGAAATAAATGCAAAGGCTCAGGTCAGTAAGTAGGTCAGCAAGCCCTTTTGCTGTGCATGTTTGGTGTGTTGAAGGGGAGATGATGGCAGAGAAGCTTTCCCTCTGGTATCGCATGGCCACCTGGTTCTGTGCTGGCACTCCAAGTCTATCCACTTACTGTGGGACTGCCACTCAGGGCAGTGTCCCTGCCCTTGTTAGTCTAAGTACACTTACTATTGTCTTAGGAAAGAAGATATTAAAGCTTTTCCTGGGACAGGAGGATGTAGATGATAAATCAGGAAAAATGGAATTTGGTTAAGAGGGACAGAGTCACCCCTAGACAAAAGTGTGAAGTAGGCAAAATTGATCCATTTATGGCACTTTCCCCTCCCATAACACACACATTGTTTGTATTCCTTTGAACTATCTCCCCATCAAGGCTCTCTCAGCCTGCCCTGTGTTTGTGGCCTAGAGGAAAAGATTCAAAACCTCTTCATTGTCGACTTCATCTTTTACACCAGATGTTCAACTTCTGCCTGAATAAGCAATAGTAGATAATGAGCTCCGCTGGGAGAGGGGATGGGGGTAGAGCATGGAATGGTGGACAATTAAATTCTCTCTTCCTCCCATAATGGGGTCCTCTACACCTGGGGGCCAACATGGTGGATTGTAAGTAGGTTCATGCTGTGCCTGGTGTCATTCTAGGGTCAGGCCAGGACTTACATTCAGCAATGAAATGTGATATAATAGAATGAGTGGTGTACCAGGGAGTTGGAAAATCTAGGTTCTTGTCCATACTACATGAACATGGGCTACTCAGTTCGCCTCCCTAAGCCTGTTTCTTCAGTTATAAAATGCAGAAAGTGCTAGCTAAGTAGGAAGTATTATTCATAGTAAAGTGTTGGGTTTTCAATATATTGTTTCTTCCTTGTGCTTTTGGTTCAGGGAGAGGGAAATAATAAGAACCTTTCCTTGAAGCCCCACCCTATAAGGTCATCTAATTATCCAATGTCTTGGCTTTACACTGAGGAGAGGAGTGAGGGAAAGAAGCCAGTAGACTTTGGGAGTGGGCCACAAGGGGGCCACTGTCCTAGCAGGTGAGACTTCAGAGGGGTGGCTTTTCCAGGTGAAAGGGTTAGAAGGGGATGGGTAAAAACATCAATGGCAGGGGCTGGGATCTTGAGATTGGAGAAGGGAGGGTCTGGGGACATGTATGAGTTCCCCTACCTGTTGCATGTGGCCCAGTATATTCTTCCTGCTATCGAAGACACCTTTCCCCTCTTCTGAGTACAGGTTGCAGATAAAATCAATTGTATAATTTTCATTGCACTTCTCATTCCTGCTGAGCAGAGACTAGGATCCAGCAGCTGCAGCTCCAACTTTCCCATTTCCTCCCCCATGTATCCGTTGTGGGCTTTGTGCTTCCCTCCCTCCCTCCCTCAATCAGTGACTGACATAGATGATAGGACTTCCCTTTCCTGTCCTTTCCATCCTATTATTAAACATTTTCCTAACTATGGGCCTTCACGCAGGTTTACCTTGAATTCTGACTTTTTTTCTGTTTTTTTGGAGGAAGTATGGGAAATGGGGGCAAAAAATACCTTACAATCAATCCCCTCTTCACTGTCGACTTCATCTTTTGCACCAGATGTTCAACATTTGCCTGAATAAGCAATAGTAGATTATGAGCTCAGCTGGGTGAGGGGGTGGAGGTAGGGCATTGAATGGTGGACAGGTACTTAAATTCTCCCTTCCTTCCATAATAGGGTCCTCTACGCTAGGGGGCCAACATGGTGAAAAGCTGGTTGTAAATGGAATCCACAGATGCATGCTGGGCTCGGTGTCATTCTAGGGTCAGGCTAGGACTTCTATTCAGCAATGAGAACTAGGAAAGGGAAACCTTGGGACAGAAGGCACAGCTTTGCTCTGTGCTCATTTTCCCTCTCTAGTGGCTTTAAGTTCCCATCTCCTATTTGGGCTGAATATGTTTTGGTGAACCTGATTAAAGTGCTACTGTATGGGTGTTTGTGTGCTAGAGACTATGTGACATACAGTTCTCCATCAAATGGGAAAATGCAGGCCACCCTTGATTTAGGTTTGGTGCCTGCCCCAGCGCCCCAGCTTCCCATCTTCCTCCTCAGGGCTTCTGGTGATTTCTTTCTCTAACAAGCTTCCATTTAACTGCTTCATGGCCTTTCCTCAATATGAAGGATAATAAACAGCAAGTCCCTTCCTCTTTCTTAGCCTCATACTTCCTATATGAAAGTAGGAGTCAGAGCTCTAGCTCAAAAAAGGGGATGGCCTGTCTGTGTAGCATGGAGAAGGGGGTCACTCAGGTGGGTAGTTGGAAAGATTCCTAAATGGACATTAACATCCCTCTTCTAGGCTTCCTGCTGTATGCCACAGAGGTCAATCAATCAGTCCTTATTCTTGAACTCTGGATGCTTCTAGGGTTCCCTGAGAGCTGGAGTGGGTGGTTATCAGTGGAGTCAGACATTGGGCTTGCTGTCCGGGTCCTAGCCTGGGCTCCC